CAACCATTTATTTTCCATGTGTACCTTGATAAATCATTGTAGGTTTCCCCCCAATTTTTCTGATGATTAACGGTATTGAACAGTTTCAATACATCTGTTGACTATATGGCTTCTGTGAGGAATATGTTTATTTTGATCTTTTGCCTGTTTTTGACAAGTATATTTCTATTATGGATTTCTATGCTTTTTCTAATATATTTGGAAAGTATAGTTAGAAATGCCCCTCCTCATTTTATGGATTCCTTTTTCATATTGTTGACATTTTAATTTGTTAATTTCTTATTTCCTTTTATATTGGTATTTAATGTGATGTAAAATAAGTGTCCATGTTCATCTTTCTGCATATGTACATCTGTTTTCTGAACATTATTTGCTGAATACATTATCTTTTCCACATTGCATAGTATGGATGTGTTTGGGAAATTCAGTGCTCACACCTGTATGGATTTATTTCTGGATTCTTCATTCTGTTCTGTTGATTATGTGTCTGTTTTTAAGTCAGTAGCACATTATTTTGATTGTTGTCGCTTAGTAATAAAATTTGAAATCAGGAAGTATGTTGCCTCCAGAATTATTTTTGTTTAAGATTTCGTTATGTGCTGAAATTTTTATTTTGTGCAACTTTTAGGATTTTCTTACCCTGTGTCTGGAAATAGACCACCTTGTAGATTGTGCTGCACACTTAGGTTTCTGGGGAGTATGAGCAGACTGGCAAAAGTGATTATTTGTATGCATGAATATGAATTACTTTTCTATTGATTTGTATAGTCTTCAATCTTAATATTTTATATTTTCCATTATAATCATCTTTCACTCATTAGCTAAATTTATTTTCATATGTTATTTTCCATTGTCTCTGTACATGAACTAGTTTCCTGAACTTAGATCATTTGCTGGCATGTGTAGAAGCACAGCTGAGTTATATGCTGATGTTATAAGGGTTACACTATATCTTGATGCCTATTCAAAACAGTGAATTTTCTACCTATTTTTGGGGAAAAATGAAAGACTTTAAACTGGAATTAAATGCTAAAGGCTACAAGGAATGGAATGTTTTCCATCCTTCCTCTCAGACTCCTCTATGTTTTTTAAAAATATCTATATCACTGCTGTTTTTACTTTGTATTCTGAGATACTCAGATCATAAATGCAACTATTATCTTTCTTTGTCATGCTTAACCTTGGCAATTTAGTAGAAAATTTGCAATGTAACCTTTTGTATGTTGTGGTAATATGAGAAGGTTGAGCTGCTGAATAAAATCAATTAAAATATTCATGGACAAGCACAGGATTTGAACCTTGTAAAATGAACTACATGTTGTCACAGGCAACTTTTATACCATAAAATCTACACCCTATAGCATTATAACAGGATCTACTTATGGTTTCATATTCTGATGACAGAAAAACATCCTGATGATTTCAAGTGGACTTTTTCATTGTTTAGCTCTAATTCTCTTTGATCCAGTAATTTGTTAAGACAAAAGTAAATGTGTCATTTTTCTATTATGTCATTTTTAAAGATACAACTGATAGATTATAATTATTATTTCCCATAAAACAATGCAGGTTGACTGAGTTCTAAGGGTAATATGACTAGTAAGAGTCTTAAAGTCTAACAGATTGCCTTACATTTATTTCTAGTATCTCACTTTCAAAGCCTTACTCAGATGTGATTGCTTCTATTACCGTCTTCATTCTTTTTATTCTATTACTCTCACTTTTAGCTGCTCCTTCAGAAATCCTGGTGGTGTAGATTTAAAAAAAAATGAATTTTCTGGTTGTTCTCGCTAGAGGAGTATTTCATTTTCCTTTTTAGTAAAATTGAGATGCTTAGATATAGTTTTTAGCTTTTTCTTTGTTTCACATTCCAACTCTGAAGATACCATCTTTTATTATCGAAGATAACCGACACATAGTCTAATAGATGTAGGTAGTGACATACACTACCAGAATTCTAAATGTTGAGGCATGAGTTTCGATGTATCAAATAGCCTGGGATACTATCAGAAAAAAAATTCTCACCTCTAAGTTGGATGTGCCAACATGTGTGATGCTCCAGATCTCCTTAAATTATTCAAGCAAGAAAGCCTGTCCCAGAATAAGACCTCCAAACACGGGCATTCAACAAACCGATATTGAGTTTCAGAAGTTACACTCCTGTACCATCCAATGCTCTCAAGCTTGCTCTTTGCCCTAGGAGAAAGTATTATCATCATTTTCTAAAGCTTCCTACTCTTCAAATATTCTTACTTTCCCAATATTTCAGAAATACAAGGCATTTAAGAGAATCTTCCCAACCATTATCACATGTTCCCTGTATGTTTATTTCAGTTGTGTTATAAATAGTCTTCAAGATTTAATGTTTATTTTCTGCTTGATTAATTCTACATATCTGCTTTTAGGAGTTTTGGTTTCGGGGGTGTACCAGTTATCTCTAATGTCACAGCTGATTTCTAACATCTATCTTTTAGTATCATAAACCTTCATGAGAGTGTACCACCTCTGGGAAGTGCTTAAATGTAGATTCTGATCTCATGGGGTTAAGATGGGGCTTCAAGTGATAGTTCCAGATATGTTGCTGGAGATGTGCTGTGATTGGTCACTAGGTCATTTGAGGATTAGAAACCAAATCTTCTCCTGGAGCCCATTCCATTTGTTTACCTTCATCTAGCTTTTCAGACTTAGTTTTCTTTATAAATGTAGTTTTACCTACATTTATGAATGAAACAGTCCCTTACATGAATGCTATGATTTCTTTTCATAGGCATTCTTCCTGTTAGAACTGACTTTGGAATCCATCTCCAGACAGCAAAACTTCACATGGGGTACGGATTATATTAGAACATTGAAAAGAATCCGTTACTTCAGCTGAGAAGTGAGAGCATGGGCAGTAAGGAGCAAATTCAACATTTCCTAACACTAAACACATCTCAAGGCTAGCAACCATCCCAGACACTGCTGGTTTCGGTGGCATCAGCCAAGACTGTAGCCTTTCTATGCCCTGTTTCCCACCCATCCTCTCACTTCTGTGGCACCGTAAGATCCACCATTCCTAGGAAAATGACGTCTAACCTTCATAGGCTGCGCTTTCATGACATGACAGACTGGAATATGAGGGATTATTCTCAGTTCTGGAAGCTAGGTGTCTAAGATCAAAGCCCTGGCTGACTTAGTAGCTAGTGATAGCCCACTTCTTAGGTCATAGATACCCATTTTAGTGTGTGTTTGTGTGTGTGTTTGTGTGTGTGTAAGAGAGTGTGAGTGAGTGTGTTCAATACATAGGTACACAATGAAATTGAGGCTGTCCATTTGTAATCTTGAGAATGGGGACATAGGAGGAATTTGAAGGAGGGAAAGTGGGGTGAGTTGGAGGGATCAAAGGAGGTGTGAGAAAGTGATTAATTTTATTTGAGTTAAAATATACTAAAATAAAATAAATGACAAAATACAATTGCAATTAATTGGTACATGTATGTAATCAAATGATGAAAAATATCTTTGTCTGTTAGTGTATCAGTGATTACTATTTAGTTGGGTAATTCAGTAAGCATAATTTCTGTTTTGTTCATTTTTGAAAATACTACTCCTCAAATATTTACTGAAAGTGCACTTAAATGAAAGGTGCCTTGCTATGAAATAAAACATCAACAACAACCAAAAATATTTAAAAACAAGCAGAACAACAACAACAACAACAACAACAAAAAACAGCCAAATAACAGAAATAAAATACTCTGGCTTTCTAACAACTGTATGTGTTTTAAAATCCAATTTGTAAAATAAAACAGAATGAAACAATACATGTTTGTTTTGTGTTACATATTTTCTTTTATGTTTGTTTTACTGCACTACAGATAAGAGGAAGAGCTTTATGTACATGCTAGACAAGTACTCTAGCACTGAGCCACAGTCCCTGACTTAAACATAAAACAGATACATACATTCAAAATCCCCTGTAAAAGAATCTGAAATAAAACAAATATAATGCAAACTGTAAATTTATCAGAATTCACTTTCTAGTTTCATTGAATAGTAAGCAGGATTAAAATTTTCCCTTTAACATTTTGATAAAGTGATAGAGATCAAAGAATGAAATTAACTGACACAATTCCATATTACTAAACTGTAGGTGGAAACTCTGGCATTTTATAAATGGTATAACCCCATTCTATGTCTCCTTTTTGTCTTTTGTATATATATATATTCACAATTGGCAAACGGCTAGTTTTAAATAACACATTTGTGTGTGACCTTTTAAGAAAATTACCAGTGTCTTTGTTTAGAGTGCAGAGGGCATGGGTTTCAAGGAGCATTTCCCACGAAATGGAGTGTATTACTCCAGCGTCACAGGCATGCTGTCAGGAAGTGGCACTTCATTAAGATAATGTGACCTTTAGAATATTCTTCCAGCATTTAATATGTCTTTTGTGGTAGGATTTGGACTTTAAATTCTGTAGCTCTGCAATAGGTTCGGAAAGCAAAGCTGCTGAAAATGCAATCCCTATTCCATGAGTGCTGTACACAGTGCTATTTGGGTTCTGTGAGGCCTTGACCCTAAAACAGCATTAAATGTCAAGTAAAGAATTTTTGTTAAAAAAAAAAAAAAGATTATTTCCAGGAAAATGTCTTCTAGAATTAAAGTCAAATTGGCAGCTCATGCCTTCAGAGGAAAAGAAGAAATGAAAAAAGTGGCTGTGTAGTAAAAAGCAAAATCAAATTTCCTTTTCTGTAACATTCCTACAAACATGTTGGAAAGAGCCCCGAAGCCTGTTTTGTACTCAGTAAAGATGGGAGACAATATCTATTACAGGGCACTTGCTGTGGCAACTTACAATCATTTGTTCATTCGTCAAGGGTAAAATGTTAACCTCTAAAATGATTTTTATGCAAGGACAGAATAGACAAAGTAGTGGAAAGAGAAAAGGACGTGCTCTACCGCTGAGGCCGGAGGCAGTATTTCTTGGGAAACATTTACATGTCAGTATGTTTGTTTATAGGTTTACATTTTATGGACAAAATTGAGTCTTTTACTTGGATTTCTTGAAATCTCCCTTCAGGCAAGTAATGTCTTTATTTTGATAATTAGAAGTCAGAGCGTGTTCTTCTTAATCACACATCAGAACTAGTCCTGCAGAGTTCTCTTTATGAGATGTTTAAAGTAGAGGACCCACTGAAGCCAGCGAGTGCTCATCTTACAGAAAAGAAGTGGTTGCTGAAGAGGAAAATAAGGAAGACTTTATCAGTTTGTCTGACACATGGCTTTTGAGAAAAAGTTCCCACCCACCAGACTCCATTAACAAAATAGAAGTCAGAAATAGTGACATTAATCAGTGGCAAGTAACAGAAGCTTGATATTTATGGTTGAAAAGAAATCAGATGCAGCCCCAGGGATTTCATGCTTCTGTTTTTCTTATGTGTGGTTGTGACAGCTTCATCAGGGAGTTACTACATTCTGAAGTTGTGCCCAAACCAGGCACTAAGGTTTCCACTGAGTTAAACTTGGAACAACAGACAATTGGTGTGCCCAATTGTTGGGTGTTTTTTCTAGCAAAATCTAAGCCCTGGGTTTGATCCTTAAAACTGTCAAAATACAAAACAACACATAGCATGGGGTTGGTATCAATGATGTATAAAGTCTTCAAAGTGTAAAAATCTTTTCTGTCATAATTAGAACCAGATATGGGTAATTCCTTAATAATAGATTAATCTCTCATTTTTGCATAGTACATTCCCACAAACTTCATGGTCTAAGACAACATTCTTCTTCAGTCTGTTTCTGTGTGTCAGTATGTGGGCATAGGTTAGAGGAGGACTCTGTGCTGATTTTCACACAACTGCAATCATGGGCAGCCAGGTGTCTTTCTGGAGGACATAGTCTATTCGAGATGATTGTTGTAGAAATAAGTGTTTTCTGTTTACAGGCCCAAGGCCTTTTGTTCTTGACAATTCCAGGTCCCATGCTGGCACTCTTTATAGACAGTCAATATGATGCCACTTGCACCTCTAGTTCAGCAGGATGGTTGACCTCTAGTCAATTAAGATGGAGATGTTCACATTGTCATCTTGTCATAGAAGTGAAACCTTTTACCACATACTGCCATTTAGAAACTGCAAAATTAATAGGGAAGATTTTATATCTGCAGGACACAGGGAAGGGAGAACCTCCAGGGTGGTCTCACCACAGATGGTCTTAGAATTTGGCTTTTGCAATACAGTGAAATTAAAAGTCACTGTGGCTTTCAGATATCCAACTGACTTCAACAATTTCTTAGGGACTCACCGACTGTCTAAGAGACATTGAACAAACACCAATAAATTGTAGATAATGTTTAATGTATTGAGTTCACTCTTCTAAAATAGGGAGGTCATGGTTTGAATGTCATAGGAGATTGTTTATTATCAAGGCTTTATTATTTAAAGTTAACCCAATTGTCTGAAAGCTCCTGTAATATAATAAGTACCAGTTAAACTTTTAGAAGATTTTAGTCATGGTGTCATTTTTTTCCTGTTAGTATGAACTTGTCAAGATCACTTAAAATAATAATCCCAACATTCAGTTTGTAATGTAGATCTACTTGAAAAGCCAGAGCAAATTCTACCTGTGTTCTAACAGCAAGAAGCAAACAGATGTGTTTTTGCATTCTTTCCCACAGCCTTACTTCCATGACCAAGGATCTTCAACGAGGAGATCTATGGCAGAAAGTCCCAGTGATGTAAACGTCTTTCTGTATTTTTCTTGACTTCCTTCACTACTCTTGCCCTATAGACAATTTATAACCCCTGCACCATCTGGGGAACAGACTGCTGGCTGCCAAGGAGACTCATTAACATTCCCCTCCAGGAATGCTTGCTGTTTAATTAGGCTGCTGGCTGGATTCAGGCAGTGAAAGCCTTAGGTGGCTGTGTAACAAATCCATGACTCCATGCCTTCCTAAGTCAAGGTCACTGAGATTTTTGCTTACACTCAATACAGGAAGGGAATCCAGAGCACTGGCTGTTGATGCCTTTAATGGGGACACTCCCTAGTTAATTGAGACCCTAAATTATCCCCCTTTGAATTCACAGCTGTCGTACCCAGGGATTGTATGACAATTTCCTAACCCCTAGCACTATGGGGTTTGGCATCCAGGAAAGCTTCCATGTCAGAACTAGTCAACAGTGTTTGTAGAGTACTGTCCAGATACAATACAGGAATCACTATACGCTTCATAATTAAGTACATCTGATTAACTAAATTTGCTGAGGACAGACTGCTTACTGTTCTTGAGACATACTTAAGTAGAAAAAAGTAGAACAATAGTATCTTTATCAAAGCTAAATTGCTGAAATTCTATTGTGAAGGCAAGGCCTCAATATTAAAAATTCCTTAATATTCAGTAATATTTTCTAACTATCACTAGTTTACAAATCATGAAAAAGTGTGTCAACTCAGACTTTTCCAAGACAGAATCAACCAACTGGAAAGCCTTTTGGCTCAGGCAACAGTTCATGTATTAAATAATTCTTCCGTTTTTTTTGTTTGTCAAATATGAATTGATCATTTGTCCATAGTTAAACCAAGTGTTCCGTGCAATTCATGTGATTAATGGTGACTCACAAGAAGTTTGAGTCAGTCTCTAGTGGGGGAAGGTTATTATTCTCAGATAGTCATAGAAACAAAATACAGTCACAACAATGTTAAATAAACATACTTACTTCTGTGAGCTCTCATAATAGAGAAAGCTGACCTCACCTGGTGAGGAGTAAAAACTTACCAAGGGAAGAAACTTGAACTGTCTTAGGTTTCAGATCCGGGACAAATGGCTGAGCTGCCTACTTAATAAGTCAAAAAGGACACTGGCTGTGAGGTTCTCCTTGCATCCCTCAGTCCCTACCTGCTACAGGACCCTCCTGGATGTCACACCCCCACTTAAATCCAAAAATTCTAATTTATCTTATCTGCCTTTCCCTATGTAATCTATCTCTTTTGGTTACCTGGATATTTTATGTTTGTTTCTGTTTTTGTTGACTTTCTTAGGGTGCTACACCTAATTCCCCTCTCTCCTCTCCCTTCCCCTCCGACATCTTCTCACATGGCATCTCAGGGTCATATCTGCTCCAGACTCTCCCAGATGTCTCTGCCTCTGGCTATGTCTCCCCTTTAGCTACAATGAACTTTCCCCTCCGTCATCACTACAGGCCATCTTGTTCTTTCCCATCGTATTTCCTTTTCTTTTTTTTTCTTCATTCAAAGTAGAAAGAAGAAGAATAGAGCAGGGGTTCCTCGATATCACTTAGGAGAGTGAGACAGGGTCTTAGCAAGAGGACTTGGTTGCTCTGGGTCAGGAAAATCGGAGCTCATTTTGGAAAGAAGCTATTGCTTACTGGTTTTCAGAAGCAAGTGCATGTAACATTGGATATGAGCTAAGCAAACTCTTTACCCATTTCCTGAGACTGAAATACCTTTCTAACATTCCAGGTAGAGTACCAACATCTAGAAATATCATGACCATTAGGACTTGTGGTGCTTTCTTCTAGATCTCTAACTTAATCTTGATTTAAGAAGGAAGGCATGCAATCTTCCTGTTCCTTCCTGGCTGCAGAAAGCTGGACTTTTACTGTTCCACAGTCTTTACCTGTATGACCTTTGGCAAAGCAGTCAGTAATAAGCAGGGAGACTTTGTTTTGTCTTCACTCTGCCAGTGTTGAATGAGAAAGACTAAGGAAGGTCTGTGATCCTCAAGGAGAATCCCATGGAGCTGCTTTACCATTGTCTGTTTTTCATGCTACATTAAAGCATCTCATCCAAAAAACAATTATTCAGGCTGATCTTTAGTAATATTGATATTGCTAATATATTATTACTAATATAATTTACATTACTAACATAATTTTAATATAATATTACTAAATAGTAACATTTACTTTGAAGAGGAAGTTTTTCAAAGTTCTTTGATATGTTTCTATATGTATCTATATTTTTCTTTAAATATTGAAAGCCCTCCTTTACTCCCTTCTGAGGAAAAGTGTTTTGATCTTTTTAAATTTTTATGATTTATTTAACTTTATTTTATGTGCATTGGTGTGAAGGTGTCAGATTCCCTGGAACTGGATTTCCAGGCAGTTGTGGGCTGCCATGTGGTGCTGAGAATTGAACCCAGGTCCTCTGGAAGAGCAGTCAACGCTCTTAACCTAGGCGCCACCTCTCCAGTCCATGTTTTACTCTTTTTATGTAACAAGTTTGGTTTTGCTTTCGTTTATGTGGTTACAGGTATCAGCAATAGACTTTGAGCCATGTTTACTGATGTACAGTTAGTATAAAAGGGTTAATCACATATTACTCATGGACTCTTTTTTTCAGGTTGGAATTTGAGCCTCACAAACTGAACAGAACATCACATTCAGGGATAAATGTGTTAAAGTCCCCTTCCAGCTGAGCGCTTTAGTCATAGACAATTGGACTTAGGGTGATGGAAGGTATTTTTTTAGTATAAACATGCTTTCATTTCAACTTTGTAGTTTCATTCTTTAAAGAAATTTCTGGGAAATCAGCATCTCCACAGTGGCAAATACCAGGCCCTCTCTGCATCCCTCAAATACCCAGCCCTCTCTGCATCCCTCAAATTTATCTTTAAAGCCCAAGCTCTTTCATTGGTGTTAACTTATGTATTTTTATAGCTTAAGGTATGTATTGTAAAGTCTGTCAGAAAAGGTAGAGTCCAGGCTGATTGCAATACCTGCGAGGAGCTGGGCGGTGGTGGCACACGTCTTTAATCCCAGCACTCGGGAGGCAGAGGAAGGCGGATCTCCGTGAGTTCGAGGCCAGCCTGGTCTACAAGAGCTACGGAGAAACCCTGTCTCGAAAAATCAAAAAAAAAAAAAAAAAAAAAAAAAAAAAAAAAAAAAANAAAAAAAAAAAAAAAAAAAAAAAAAAAAAAAAAAAAAGCAATACCTGCGAGGAAATTCTTCAGAAAGGCAACTGACTGTTTCCATAGCTGTCTAAACAGCTGCTCAGTTGTCATGTATTTCTGTTACTTTTATTTTGGAATAATAGGCATTTAAGAGAAGAGTAACCTAG